GGGAGTGCCTTGGGTCCAATGAGGTGACTCTTATTCTGATTCTGGCTCTGGCTCTGGCACGGGATCCCAGTGCGACATCTGTGCTCTATGACTCTGATTCTGAATCTGGGACGCCAAGGGCTCTGCCGTTGGGCAGTTGGCCACTGTCGCACAGAAGAACACCCTGGGTCCATTTGACTCCAATTCTGCTCTGGGATACCAAGAACTCAGTCGGCGGACAGTGGGCCCCCGTACTGTGCGGGGAGTGCCCTGGGTCTGGACGGTGGGCCACCGTAGTGTACAGGGAGTGTCCTGTAACCACATGTGGCTCTCATTCTGATATGTGTTATGTGTTATCTGTTATGTTCTGATACTCTGATTTTAATTCTGATTTTCTGGTTAGACTGTGCATATGAAACTACATGTATTAAGTTAAGAAATGTGATTTTTGTAAACCGTGCTATTACTTGTGTGATATGTGTATTTTGAATGATCTTAGTTTCTGTCACGTTATGCCCAGTTAGTACATTCACTGAGTTATATACTCACCCCTTTTTCCTCCCTCACCTTTCAGATTTCAGTTTTGATCGGCAGCAGTAGTTCCTGTGACGCTTCCGTCACCGCTGCATTGACCTGATTGTATGGGCATTTTCTGTATATTTACCTTTTTGTACTCTAGACGCTCCGTGTACAGTCAGATATGTTTTGTTATGTGTATATATGAACAGTTTTCTGATGATGGGTGTTATTGCTTCGGTTTAGTCAAAGGCTTACTAGGGTTGGTTCGCCAATCCTAGTATTGGTCACGCACCCCGGGTTGGGGCGTGACAGAGATGTCCAACTTAGAGACTTTCAACGGAGACTTCATCCAGGGCCCATGGTTCACGCTTACTTATTTATTTTTTTCCTTCAGGGTTCCCCTGTTTTCTCTGTTTATCTTTTGGAAGATTTGTTTGTGGTTGTTGCTTTGCGTTCTATCACTTCCTCATTTTCTTTTAGGGTGTTTTGGAAGAGTCCTCCATTCTATTTCAACTGTGGATAGAATGCCCAATATTAGTTTAATTTTTGATACTCATTTAAAAAGTTATTTTTATAGACTGTTGGAATGTACTTTCAACAAGATTAGTCTGGATGGTAAAAAAAATTCTATCCATGAATTGATAATTGTGATCTTAAATCTTTTCATTTTAAGATATAATTCATTTTGAAAAATAAAGAAAATTAATATATAAAATATGCTTATTTTTAAGTATTTTTGGGTATTGCATGCATATTTACTTCAGAGATTATAGATGAGTGTATATACAAGAATATTGTATAAATGTGGAAGGAGTCCATCCAATCAACCTGGTGTGAAAGGATTTTTAAATAAATATGATATAAAGGAAAAATTCTACGTGATAAAACTCAATCTCACATTAGTTATTTACCGGATATTAAAAGATTTTATATATGATAATTTTATATCTCATGTTGAATTATAATATAATAAAACTATGCCACGTGGATCATGTGTACCATGTGGGCACTTTTAGGGCACACTTGGCGCTTAGCAAGTGTGAAAATTGCAGAGAAGTGAAAAATATTTAAATTAATTTAATTTTTTATTTCAATTATTTGTTATTGTAGATGGTGATTTTGTTGGCTTTTCAATGTTTGAAAGTTTTTAACAATTAGAAATGTGAAAGTTTTTGATTGTCGGAGAATTGTCTATAAAATGGATATTCACACTTTCCATGGAAAATTTCGATTATCCAAATCACTCTTGCTTTTTTTTTTTAAACATTCGGAAAAAAAATAAGGGCCTATTATTTTGTAAAATATCATTATTGTTGTTAACTTGAATTTGGTAGTATATAACAAATTAATTGTTCTTCATTATATCTTGCAGGAAATTCACTTGTTTCTATTTGCATAAAAAGTGTAATACTAGTAATGGCAAAATAAATCTAAAAAGAGTATTTAACTTGTCTTTGAGGTTTTATGTAATTTTCCAGTTTAATTAATTTTTCTCCAATACCTAGCTAGGCTAAGAAAACCCCATCCCTCATGTTCCTCCTCATCTGATAAAGGAAGGATGCCAACAAGACAATAGATAAAACTTGAATAAGAGGTCTAAACAATAAAAATCTTATAGTTCACATACAAATAAAAAAGGAAAATCACCAAGCCAGTTCCCTTGGCAAAAATAATTACTTGGAAGACTAAAATAGAATATAATTACCCAAAAGATTTAAATAAAAATTATGGACCTATAAGATTTTTTATTTCCCAATTACCCCCCACTACTGCAACTCCCAACCCCCACCCCTGTGAGACTTGGTCATCACCAAACCCTTGAGTCTTGGCCATTGACTAGCCCTCCTGCATGGGACCCTCTTGCGCAAGCCCTCTTATGCGAGACACCAACCCTGTGCGAGCCCCCTTGAGCAAAACCCTTCCCCGTACACAAGCCACCATGCACGACGAACTCCCTTTGTCTGCAAGCACTCCCCTCCCCCCTTTCTCTCTCTCTCTCTCTCTCACTCTCTCTCGCTCTCTCAAGATGTCCATACCTATAATTTTACAATGCTCTACTTATAAGAGGCATTCGAAGACATGATAAGGCAGGATAAGATAAACTTATCTTGTCTTATCATGTGTTCAGATGGAATGTAACAGTATGTGAATAACATATTGATAAGGGTACATATCAGTATCCATGTGAGAAAGTTATAGAGCAGTTGGGCTGAGATAAAAATTATGCCCCCATATCAGCGTTTTAAACACTTTTTTATTGGATATAAATGCCTTTACTATTCAACTGGACAATGGCCAAATTAATCTTACATAATTTTGTGAAACCAGTGAAACCACAATCGTCACTTGCCATTCTCCTCCTCCATCGTGAAACCAGTGTTCCCTCCTCGCTCTCGATCTCTGACTGTAGTGTTCGGCTCTACTTGCGATGACTGAAAGCTATCGTTCTGTTGTTGCGCATAGGCGACGAATTTGGAGCCCAAATCAGAGGCATAGATGGCATCTAGGGCTCAAAGGAAAGGCATGGGCTCAACATGGCAGAGGCAAAGCAGGGGAGGAAGGTCAGAGGGATGGGAAGCGAGGGAGTCGGCATGGCCAGTGGGGGTGAGGTGAAGGGAGATGGTGGAGGAGGAGAGGCTGTAATGGAGGTGGTCGTCAGAGGTCCAAGGGAGGTGGCGGGCCAGTTGGCAGTGGTCGTGAAGATGATGCAAGGCTTGTTTTGGGAGACAAAGTGTCAGAGAATTGGAATGGGGTCAATGGTGAAGGGAGGCGCTCCACCTGGAATCCGAGGCTGAGTTCCCTTGCTTTGTGCTAAAGGTTTTCGATCTCTTCTTTCATGCTATGTTATCATAATGAATGATAGCAGCCTAGGCAATTGTGAACAAAGAACAAGGTTAGTCATGCATTGAAGGTGGTTGCAGAAGGTCGAGATTTGCATTTCAGGTCTGCCCCTCCCTGCCCCCTCTCTCTCTATGTTTTTTTTTTTTTTTTTACCCATATTATAACAAAAGACTTTTTGGTAAATTCAGAGTTTTATCCTTGATTTCACATCAACTAAATGTGAGATAAGTTATTGGCAAAAAAATTTATCCTGTTTGTTATCTGTTTAACTGAACGTGTGATAAATACTATTAACCTGAATAAATTTATCTAGTTTTATCCTATCACTCTATGTCCTATTCTCTCATCCGAACGCCTCCTAATTTTATAAGTTTATACTTGTAACCCCTCCAACTCACACACACACACACACACACACTCTTTCTCTCTCTTTTTAAATATCTCTGACAACCTGCTTGTATCTATTTGTAATTTTACAAGTTTATACTCGTAATTTTATAGTTCCATACTTATAATTCTTGCAATCCTTTCTCACTCACTCACTCACTCTTTCTTTCTCTTAATATCTGTAATAATCTACTTATAATTTTACATAAACATGCTTGCAATTTTACAAATTTATATTTGCAACTTGGGTATGAAAAAAGTGTGAAAAAGTGTGTTGGAAAATCAAGTTACCTTCTAGGTCATTATATATTTTTTAACCATTTAGGATCATTAATTACAAAAATGACCCTCCGAATAATAAATCTTACCAAACTAACCAACTTGATAATTCTTCCAATAAAAAACCCGTTCAAACAACTTCATCACCAAGCTTCTTCTACTTTTAGCCTTTATCGAGACAATATCTTGGTTAGACTAAATATTGTTATGATCATCTTATTTTATTCAATTCATGTAAGGCTTTTTAATTTGTAATATTTTTATATATTTTTTTCTCTCATATCCTTTTAGTAACATTTATATAGTCCTTTTTTTATTTTTTTTAAAAAAATTATTTCTAACCCAATGGAAACTGAATGAACATATACACACACAAGCACGTGCACACACACACATACGAATGTATGTATATATGTATGTATGTATGTTTCTTTTCTGTTTAATTTATTTTTCCTTCGCATGTTTTCCCCTTTCAAATGTTTCTCTTTTGTTTTAAAAAATACAAGGCAAAAAAAAAAAGGGACAGACATAACTAGTTTTAAGTTCCATAAAATAAAATAAAAATTAGTATAGAAGTATTTAGTTCAATAACTTAATTAATCAATGAAAATGAAATTTAGTGATGTATCACCTATCACAAACAAATACATACTATTCACACAGTATCAATAAGTTACATATGCCATGCTACACTATAAGATGGTATGTATAAAGCTCACATTGTATTGAGCAGTAGTGGTTGGACATCAAAGAAAGAATCTTTTTCAATACCGGAACAAATCTTTGTTGAGGAAGAAGAAATTTCCCTTGTCTTGGAGAGATCAATTGTGCTGAATTTGATTTCTTTAAAATTCTGTTGAGGCATCATGGTTGATGAAATCATCTGCTCCTTTCCATTCTAATTGCTTCCAATTCAAAGGCAACTTCTTTCATTGGTGGCCTATTTTTGCCTTCCATGTTCAAGCATCTTTTAGCAAGATGGGCAAAACCATTATCTATTCCACTGGAGCATCCTCTTCGATTTGAGCATTGAGAATCTCTAGTAGACGATTTTCATCCATTGTGTGAGTAAAATATGAGGCCAAACTCTTACCTTCTTGGGCTTTAGTTGAAGTAATTGCCTTTAATCCCGTCAAAAGCTCAACAAGCACAATTCCAAAGCTATAAACATTACTCTTATCTGTTAATTGGTGTGTCTGGAAGTATTCTGGATCCAAATGTCCACAAGCCCCTTGCACAATAGTGGTCAAGTGAGTGTGGTCAAGAGTAGCTGATCTTGAAGTCCCGAAATCTGAAACTTTTGCCTTGTATTTGTCATCCAAGAGTATGTTGGACGACTTGATATCCTAATGATAAATGGGTGTTGACGCTTTATTATGTTAATAAAAAAGAGTTTTTGCTATTTCTGCAGCTATTCGCAAGCATATTTCCCATGCTAACGGAAAATCTTCATTATCATCATGAATAAGTTGAAAGAGTGTCCTATTTGGAATAAACTCATAAACTAGTAAGGAACTTCAGTCTCCAGACAATATTCTATGAGTTTAACCACACTCCTATAATTAATTTGTGAAAAAATGACATTTTATTAATAAATTGGTTAACTCTTCCTTCATCAACTATTGACCTCCTTTGTCAAGAGTACGATCTTTATTGTAATTATCAGTTACGTTTTCTAACTCCCTTGAACTAAAGACTTTGGTCTTTTCAACGTTGCCATTTCTTGACGTGAGCTCTTGCTGTAACAACAGGCCACCATCCCGCTTAAAAAGCTTCTTCCTGCGCCTCAGTTCCCGTTTTCTTTTTATTACTTTGTATAACCATCAAGTACAGAGAAGCAAAAGCAATCCTCCAAATCCAGAACAAACGCCTGCCAAAATAATATATTACGTAATACGTACTTTGAATATTGAGAAGATTAAATATAAGGTGTATATATATATATATATATTTTAAAAAAAAAGAAGCAAGCTAGTTTTGCTGCGTTTGTTGCATTTCGTGCTCCATGATAAATATCGTGAAATAAAGTCATAGTACACATTTCATCATGTTATCTATTTACTGTCTTCAGGAATTATAAATCTTTTTCAGTTTTAAAAGAAAAAAGGTGGTCAAGGTGGATGATATTTTTATGGTTAGGCATGTCAAATTAAATAATAAACTAATTCATTCTGTTTTTGAGGCTAGTTGTTAAAGTTTTTAGTTATTTTTTTATAGTTATAAAAGCACGTGTTTTTATTTTTTAGATTAAAATTTTAAAATATTATTTTTTTAAACAATATTTCTAGAGTACAAATTCTAAAAATTAAAATATTTTACTTTTAAAATTGAGCACAACCTTTAGATTGTATTCAGTTTCTAAAGTAAGTTGTTCCATTTATATTTAAAATAAAAAATTTTATTATATATAATATCATATAATAATATATATTTTGTTGTATATTAAAATATGAAATATGATATATTACGTATATTATATTATATTAATACATATAACATATATATGTATATGTACATATAATATATATTATATATTTATACATAATATATAATTTTATTTAATGTACTATTTTATATATTATACACACGTACATAGAGAGAGAGAGAGACACACACACACACACACATATCATTCATAATATTTTATCTATTTTTTTTTTAATTTTTTATATTTAAATATCGTCAATTCAATTTTATTATTTTTTTAATTTATTTTTTCTTTTATTTGAACCTCTAATATTATATTTTTTTACATAAATATTTGTCTAAAAAATAACATATAAAAAAATATAATTTCATAAACATATCTAAAAAATACACAATAAAATAATAGTATCTCATTATTTTTGAAATATTATATCTTAAAAGCATACTTCAGTTTTAAAAACACATGTTTTTAAAGTTGAAAAAGAACGATATCTTATTTTCTCATCTTGTTCTTTCATTTGGGAGACAGACGGTTAACACCAAATACTCTCTGCGACCTTGAAATAAATATAAAATGACAAAATAATTAAAATTTATATTTATTTATCTTAAGATCCAAAAATGAGAATATTACCAATAGTGACCATTTTTGCCTTGTCCTTGTACTTGCATCCAGGAACCTTTGGATTCTTCTTACAAATATCTGATATACAATAAGAAAAAAGTAAATAAAAAAGGAAAGTGCATTATTTTATGAAATTTGTTGAAAATAAACCACACCCATCTGCAAGTCTTTCACTAAAATATATGAACATGTGTATGTATATAAAGGATTTTAATTATGGCGTCCGTTTAGTAAGAAAATAGTTGCTGTCATCAAGATCGTATCACTTCTCTTTCCCATTAATTCCTTGAATGTGGTTTTATTTTAATTTATTCTCACTGCTTTAATGAAAAAATCGAAGCAATTAGTTTTTATTGTTTTGAAAATGAACAATTAGTGAGTCGAAAGAAGTATAAGAAATTTATTTATTTTTATTATAACCTCTAGAATCTACTAGTTCTCTTTTTGCTATTATTTAGGGTGACTCCTAATTTCAAATGGATTAATGAGTTGAAAGAAAACATCTTAATCCATCCTAAATCACTCGTCTCTTCTTTTCAACTTTTCATGCATGCATTTTGTCTTCTTTTATTTTATCAACAATATATTTATCATTAATTTTATATTCCATAAAAAAATATTTTAAACACAATAATGTAGGACCATGAATCCGAGTAAAGCACAGACTTACTTTCACATCCATTGGGAATATAAGGATTTCCCTCGTATCCAACCCCGCACCAGCATCTGAAGCCTTCAAAATCCCATAGGAAGAGAGGACAAAACATCTTAGGTTTTCCACGTAGGAAAGTAAAGTTGAGATTTATGTGGTTCTCGACAGGGTGCCAAACGGTAGGATTAAGCCTTCTTTCTCGGACATATTTGACTTGAGACAAGCAAGGATTGGGCAGGGAATGGAGATTGATGCGCCGTTGTCGATAACTTTGAGCAAGATGGCTGTGATGGTGTGCTAGCAGTACTTGGCCTGGTACAAGGTTATTGGTTGGGAGGTGTTGGCCGTCAATCAGCCTCTTGGCAGCTGTGCCAATTACCACGTCATATCTTTTTGGAAGTTCTACCCTTTCAAGGGACGTAGGAATCGTTTGTACGTAAATTTAAGGAATGACTCCAGCTGTATAGATGGGTCCTACTTGAATTGTAAGAAGAACTCTCTACCACTCTACGCCGTGTAGGAGTCCAGTGTAGCGTCGTGTAAGTTGAGGTGGCAGTTGTGCAGCAGAATAAAGTATTATCATTAATTGTAATGATGGGATTGGGCAAAAGCACAAACCCTTTAACTGAAATAAAGTTTAAATGATGTGACGCCCTAACTAAATTTCCTATGAACGAGGTTAGCGTAGCAGTTCCATTTCAATTAATTAACCCATTAATGAAATTTACAATGGATATTTAATTAGGCCATTAACATAATTAACAAGGGGATAACATTGGAGTTAAAATGGAATTTCTTAATAAGGAAATTGTATTACAAACAATTAACATTTGGGCCAGTAAATGACCGGCGTAGGACTTTGAGACTTGATAGCGTTAACGACGGAACCAATGAGCTTGCTCATCGAGTCCGAACTCATGACTGCGTTATGAGGTGTCTCATTTGGCTCCGTTTTACTAGTAGCTGCTGGTATTGTGTCCTCGGTTAAAGGGGGTTGTGGATCAGATATAGAGTTCCTGCGGCACATTTTGGATGCTGCTATTCTAGGACTGGCAGTCAGGATGTTGGGGTTTTTATTTGACAATCTCGCTGAGAGCGATCTGCAAAAGGTGGGTTGTGGATTGGATGGCCCGCAGTACCATACATCGACCATGTCCTCACTGAATTTGTCGGACAGTATCTTGGTCTTCGGATACTGGACTATTGCATTGTCGGGACCTTTGCTGGTTGCAAATTTCACGTAGGCCTTGATCTTGCAGTAGTAAGTTGTGGAATTGAGGTTGGTTTGCTCTAAGTGATATGTGGCAATACAAGGGCAGCACTGTTCCTTGATAGAAGCGAAGGATGTTCCGAAGTAGGTTTGTTCTACTAGACAGGTGACTGGAAAAACGAATTCAGCTTGTTTCGGTCAAGCCCCAATATTCTGTTGTCGTAGATCAGTACGCAAACGTTGCCAGTAGAGTTAATCGGACATTGGGGTTTGTAGACGAGGATGCATCGATCGATTATTATGGATCGACCGATGAATTTCCTAACAGTTCCGTGAACGGAATAGTGAGATTGAGTTTCTGGGGTTCCAATTGTGCTCGTCCCTATATGGTTCTGGTCTTGAAGTCGTGGTGTCGAATTCCTGGTCTCTGTACATTGGTTGGAATCTTCTTCATCGCCCCCTGAATTTGTTCTGTATGAAAAAGGCATTTGTTGTTTAACGCTAAAGAACTAGTGGCATTCTTATAAATATGAGGTCCCTTCGCGGAGGGAGCTCTCTCAAAAGTCTCAGATATCTAGAGGGACTGGAGAGACCTATATACTCCCTCTTGTTTGGGGGGGGGGGGCTATATAATAATATTACTAGGCCCCCCCCACATGTACGGTGGAGATGGTGCCACGTAGACGGTTTGGACGACTGGGATTTTTTTGGAGGGAAAAAAAATTAGAAAAGAAAAGAAAGTTCCTCCAGGCACGGAAAGGCTTTTTTTTTATTTTTTTCTGAGACACTATTTGGGCGTGTGTTGTTTGGGGCCCATGCCTTTACTGTATGCTAGCTGTGTGTCAGGCTGCTGTTAGGAGTGTGTCAGAGAGACTTGTTGGTGAAGCTTCTGGGTGTTTTCCTGCCAAAATCCAGTAGACCCCACCGCTATTTGAAATTTGAATTTAAAATTCTGTACCCACGTGCCGCTTACATGTGCCCAGTCTCTACTGGGTAAAGTTTGATCGCCTCCCTCTCCTCAAAATAAAAATTATTTTTTATTTTTGCCTATTTGTATAAATAGTTATTGCCGTTGATGTGTTTTGTTTGTCTAGTTTTGTGGGACTGGAGATGAGGCCTCCGTTGTCAGGGAGGAAGAAGTGGTCGGACATGCCTCGATCTTTGTGTACTCCCCCTGTTCGTCCAAAATGGGGAAAACTTGCTGGGCCAGATCCCTTGGATGTCACAACTACTATAGCGGCCACATTGACTTGCATCATCATGATGATGATGCAAAGTATAACGTAATTAATGACGTAAATGCAGTGTACTTGAAACATTGAAAAGAGTTTATTGGCGCACAAAGTGACCAGCACTCCAATTTAAAATATGGCAAGCCCAGAAAAATAAAGGGGGGGATACCATCTATAATAATCTACAATCCATGAGTGAACTCTTCTTACAAGCTTTTTTTACAAAAATCAAAGAATAAGGACCTCCTACATTGGACCAAAAAGAATGTTGTCTTCTTCTCCATTGAAAAAAAACTCTTCTCCTAGAAGCATAGTCCTGGAGGTGAAGCAATTACCCATTAAAAAAGGAGGCCGTTAATTTTAATGAATGCCGCTACGCGGACCTCATTCTTAAGCAATCTAGATCGGGCGGCAAACATGAATCCCGAGTGGAAGAGATTCCAAATCCTTTGTAAGAGGGCAGCATGGATTTGATTTATGCCAAATCCAATACATTACAAAATGTTTACCCAACTCAATCAGAATTGTATGGATGTGCAATTCCTCCTGAACAGCAGATGTCGCAGAGAATTGCGGTTAAAGAGATTCTTTTATACATAGCGTATATGAATTAGTCCCAAAATATATGAAAGGGCGTTTCCTACCATACCCAAACGTCTCCAGGCGAGGGTATACCAGCAGGTAGACCACTTAGAAATAATTTCTGTTGAAATGTACTGTACCACAATAAACGTTGTATTGCATGATTACAAGTCAGTAATCATGTCTTATGTAATCCTTCGTGAGTCAATAAAATTTATTGATTAGCATTACTTATAATTTGTTTTCTCTCTATTGGACATAATTAACATTTTTTTCTTCATTTCAACACTGTGCAAAAATCCATAACGTAAATTAATATCTACTTTTATTCCAAAATTATTACAAGCAGCGTTTAGACGAAGCACCATTTGCAATCTGTACAACAGTAATGCAACCTTGGCTAACCCGCTATCCAATCTCACCCTCACCCTCCGTGTTCATAATATTGGTGAACTCCAGCAAACCTGAGAACATCAGGTCCAACTCCTATTGCAGGTCATTGATCCACGTCACAAAAGCAACTGGGCCCAAGTCCAATGCCTTGGAACTTATGACACCTAACAGCGTCCGAATATCGTAACGGCTGCTTACAACTTCCATTTTCAATCGATAATCACCGCAACATCTAGAGGATATGACGACAGCGACACCGTTCAAACTTGCACCGCACTCTAACTTTTATCGTTGGCAGCCAATTTGAACCCACAAAGATAGCTTCTCCTCCAATCACAGTCCTTAAGAGACTGACATCAGATATCACGTCCAACCCGTCCTTCAAATATTCCTTCAATATTCCTATCATGACCTGCAACAACTAACTTCGACTTGACACGCCTTTATTTTGAAAAATAGGCACACGTGATGATTAATTGTACTTGCAGTCATAACAGTAGACGCGTGGACCACATGCAACCCTCTAGAAATGCGGACTCAAAAAAACAACCCAAACACGGGCCAAAAAACGGCCCAAATAAAAGGCCCAGAGGGGCCTGGAGGGACTTTCCAATTTTTGCCATTTTTTTTCCTCTGCAAAAATCCCGGCCGTCCAATTCGTTCGTGTAGCACCATCTCCACCGTATATGTGGGGCGGAGGGGGCTAGTAATATTATTATATATACCCCCCCACAGAGAGGGAGTATATAGGTCCCTCTAGATATTTAAGACTTCTGAGAGAGCTCCCTCCATGGAGGGACCTCGTATTTACAAGAATGCCACACACTCCTGACTTCCGTCTTCAAAGTCAAAACATCTTCCTCACTTACCCACACTGTCCTATAGGCAAAGAAGAAACCTTCCAACAACTCCAAGCCTTATTTTCGTCGAGACCCCCAAAATACATCAGGCTGGCCAGAGAAGAATACCAGGACGCGATCCCCATTTGCACTGCCTCCTCCACTTCACCTAGAAATTTGAGACCATGAACCAGAGGTTTTCGACCACATCTCCAATACACCTCCTCTCACTTCCATCCCAACATTCAAGG